AAATAGTTATGTTGGTATCATATGTTTTTCCTATACAAAAGTAAACGGTGCTTTAGCTCGCAAAATTTGTGTGATATCTTTTCAAAATCTTCAAGACTTACATAACTGTTGCATTAGAATTTTCATTCTCATAATAAAATTTTCTAACTGCAAAACATTTGTTTGATGTCAAGGAAGCTCACATAAGCACCAGTGATGAGTTTATTCTTTTAAGGCCTGAAACTATGTTGAGTAATTGGCGGATCACGTCAAGAAAAATCATATCCATGGGCATGTCACATGAATACCTTAAGCACGAACATGTTGCTTCTCCCAGTTAATGCTTTCCCAACTTGTTTACCCTCTTTTGGGGCAAAATTTGAAGACTTTGTTGTGCCAACTACAGTCAATCCGGGGCAATCACGTCGAGATTTGATGAATTCCTCTAAGAGTTTGAAGACACCAGAGCATGGTGAATGCCAGGTCTTTTGTAAAATCCTCTTGAGATGATTTCTCCTCATCAACCAGATAGCTTGGGGCATGTTAGAAGTGAAGCTATTCGCAAGAATTGTCGTGCAACATGCAGCTCATCAGCAGTAAACTTGGGGCATCCAAAATTAATCCCAGGGGCAATCCAGATTTGTCAAGATATGTTTTTCATACACTATCAGAGGGTGGTGTTCCCAGTATCTCTAGCTAAGCAAGACTTCTTTCCAACTGGAACTTTGTTTGTGTTGTTATCCTTTCAATGGATTGTTTGCAATAGAAGACTGGACTTTGAGTTTTCTACCTGAAATATCTTCCTCTCCAGAGATTTAAACCTTGTAAAAGGACTTTACTCCAATGATGGCCTGTGTTTTATCTCCAGTAATGTTCCCATCCTGTTGAGATTAGCTGAGTGTTGGGTTGTGCTATGATGTCTTTTCATCTCCAGTTTATCTTGCCTGTCTGTGTTGTCAGCATATAAATGACATTCATTTATTCATTCACACTTGCATCATGCATGCACAGTTGTATTTGTTGATGTCTTTGAGTACGTATACCTTGGTTATGTCTATTCAAATAGCGTATTTGATCTTTCCAAATAGAATGTCAACTTAAGCAGAAAGTGCGCCTCCTTTCTAATTCCCCACTGAGTTAACTCTCGTGGAAGAATCTTGCTTTAGCTTTCCTTTTCCATCTCTGGATAGGATAAATCCCCATTTGAGTTGTTTCCTCATTGGGTGGAGTCTTGTTTGACTATTTTCTCTCCATTTTATTCCTGGATTGAGCTTTGTCTCTTGTGAACGATACCCTGTGGATCTCTCTAGGCTGTGAAACCTAGGTGGAGAGTGCATTTATTTTGCAACGTAAATACTTGGTCTCCTCAAGAAGTATTTATTCATGGTTCCCCATTGAAGATGAACTTTATTCCCCAACAAAATCTTCACGATATTTCATGGGTATCTTTTTGAAAACAGCAAGCGGCAGTTTCTTCATGAGACAACTTGTGTGTTATGGATACTCTTGACAAACAGCAAGCGGCAGTTTCTTCATGAGACAACTTGTGTGTTATTGATACCTTGAAAAAACAGCAAGCGACAGTTTCTTCATGAGACAACTTGTGTGTTATGGATACTCTTGACAAACAGCAAGCGGCAGTTTCTTCATGAGACAACTTGTGTGTTATTGATACCTTGAAAAGACAACAAGCGGCAGTTTCTTCATGAGACAACTTGTGTGTTATTGATACCTTGAAAAGACAACAAGCGGCAGTTTCTTCATGAGACAACTTGTGTGTTATTGATACCTTAAAAAGACAACAAGCGGCAGTTTCTTCATGAGACAACTTGTGTGTTATTGGTAATTTTGAAAGGAAACAGCAAGAGGCAGTCTCTTCATGAGACAACTTGTATGTTACTGATACCTTAGAGAAAACAGCAAGCGGCAGCCTCTTCATGAGCAACTTGTATGTTATTGTCACCTTTGAAAATAGAAAGCGGCGGTCTCTTCATGAGGCAACTTGTATGTTATCAACATCTTTTCAAAACAGCAAGCGACAGTCTCTTCATGAGGCAACTTGTGTGTTATTGTCACCTTCGAAAACATCAAGCGGCAGTCTCTTCACGAGGCAACTTGTTATGTTATTAACAACTTTAAAAACAACAAGCGGCGGTCTCTTCATGAGCAACTTGTGTGTTATTGGTAATTTTGAAAAGAAAACGACAAGCGGCGGTCTCTTCATGAGCAACTTGTGTGTTATTGGTAATTTTGAAAAGAAACAGCAAGCGGCGGTCTCTTCATGAGCAACTTGTGTGTTATGGATACTCTTGAGAAACAGCAAGCGACAGTCTCTTCATGGATAACTTGTATGTTATCAACACTTTTTAAAAACAGCAAGCGGCAGTCTCTTCATGGACAACTTGTATGTTATCAACACTTTTTAAAAACAGCAAGCGGCAGTCTCTTCATGGACAACTTGTATGTTATTAACACTTTTTGAAAACGGCAAGTGGCGGTCTCTTCATGAGCAGCTTGTACGGAAAACGGCAAGTGGCAGCTTCTTCATGAGCAGCTTGTACGTTAGTATTTTTGGAAGACAGCAAGTGGCAGCTTATCTATTTGAGCAACTTGTGTGTTATTGTTCCCTTGAAAACGGCAAGTGGCAGCTTCTTTATGAGCAGCTTGTGGGTTATTGGCAATAAGTGGCAGACTCTTCATGAGCAGCTTGTGTGCTTTGATATTCTTTGAAGACAGCAAGTGGCAGCTCCTTTATGAGCAGCTTGTGGATTTTTGGCAATAAGTGGCGGACTCTTCATGAGCAGCTTGTGTGCTTTGATATTCTTTGAAGACAGCAAGTGGCGGTCTCTTCATGAGCAACTTGTATGTTATTGACACCTTTGAAAGGAAGCAAGTGGCGGCCTCTTTATTTGAGCAGCTTGTGTATCCCCAACAATATTGTCTACTCAGCAAATGGCACCCCTTCGGAAAAGTCCCGTGGGGAAGTTTGTTATTTTATCCTTTTCAAGCGATAGCTTGGTTAAAGAAGAGATGTGTTACCGTTCTTGGTAAAATTCAGAAATCAGAGATGTTTATCTCCAGCCACAGTGCTGATGTCAATCATTTTGTTTTCCAGCCACAGTGCTGATGTCAATCATTTTCCAGTCTCAGTACTGATGTCCATCATTTCCTTTTCCAGTCACAGTACTGATGTAAATCATTCAAGAGTCTCTCATTTGAAGTCTATGACTTTGTTTCCCCAGTGGTGTTATAATCTGTTCCCCTGTAGGATTACTGTATAGTGTGCTTGGTTTCTCCAGTATAGTCTGCCTCATATGGCGTCATTCCCCATAAAATTCAGAGCATTACATTCATATCATATCATGAACATAATCGCGGTATCTTAAGGCCAAAAATTGTGTATTCTATATTTAAGTCCCTTCAATCTCGTCGAAATGAAGATCCCAATCTTCATATCTCCAGACAGAAGAAACTTAAATAGGGGCAGCTGTTGTACCCCAATTTTTGACCTAAGATCCCGTATTTTTTTTTGCATTTTTAAACATAAGCCAAGGTCACGAAATACGGTCGGTTTTAACGTCTCACCTTCGAGCTTTGACTATGCAGAAATTGTCAAATATTTTGAACATTCTTAGCCTATGTGTCACTAACTTCTAATCAAGCACGAAGTGTGTGTTTTTTGTTTCTTTGATTTCATTTGCAGGAAACAGATCTGAATCAAGAGCATCAGGCGTTATGCCTCGATTAGGGTTCAGAATCTCTCAAGCCAGAAGTACGGTTGATTATGGATTCTCGAAGACTGATTCATCAAGGCACAACTGTTGCACCCTTAATTTCGCCCCTAATTTTTTCAGTCGCACATTCATACCATATTTTGTCATTTGGTCACAATCATTAGTAAATATCTTCATTCATCGCATTTTGCATCATTAGTCGTATTTAAGTTGATCAGAAAAGTCAGTTTAAATCGAAGTTTGCATCGTCTTTCAGTTGTAAAATACCCGGCGTTTCACATCATTCATTTTTACCTGTTTACTATTTTCTTGCATTGCTCCAAGTTGTTTATACGTCGATAATAAAAATATTTCGGTTTTATAGACAAACTGTTAAAAGCGATTCGACACTATGCGGGAAACTAGCGAGAAAATATTTCAAGTTTTCACCTTTTACCGATCATTTTACGAATCTGCGCTTCGCGTAGATTATGACGGTATGCTCGCTTTATTTTTTCGGTACAGTTCGAAGTCTCGTTTTTAACCTTAAACGTCTGTTTAGTCTGATATTTTTATTATTATTTTATTTTTTGATTTTTGACTTCTTGAGTATTTTTTTTCTTTAATCTTTGTGACATGTAGAGTATTTTAACGTGTTCATTTTATTTTTTTCGGATAAACTTTCGTCCGTTTTTTATCGTTTTCGGTCACAAAAAAATATTAATTAGGCTTCACTTAATTCTCATTGGTCGATAGCATAGTTTACGGATTGATAGAGATTGAATTTTCATTGGTCGAAAGCATGGTTTGCGGATTGATAGAGATTGAATAATATTGAACGGTCATGATTTAATTTTGAAAGCATATACTCCTCATCATTTTTCTTATTTAAGTAACCTCTTTTATCACTTTGTACGGGGGGAACAAAAAAGAAAAACAATGACTTTTACTCTCAATTCATTTCCCTCACTCTCCCTCTCACAACTCCTTCCACCTCCTTTGATTATCCCACCATCCTCAACATCACCTTCTGTCAAACAAAAAACGCGCAGCATCACACAAACTCCCATCAATTTCCACTTCTCTCTTTTGCCACTGTTAAGGCCTCTATTCAGTTTCTCCGCCCTCAACCTTTCCTCCACCGTAACCCCAATACTCTCATCTCCTTCTCTTTAATCTTCAAACTTCAAAAACCCAAAAAACCTGTGATAACAAAACAAATCAAAATCGGTTAAAAGTAGAGAAGGAAACATATTACATGGCGGCAATGTTGGAGTGATGCGCGGTTTCACGATGAATGGGTGAACAATGCGATGGTTGGACTCTGTAGCTGTGCGGTCGACGAAGGTTGCAGATCCACTGCAGTCGGATCTACGGTGGCAAGCGGAAGGAGTGCGAGCCGGTGGTCCGTGTGCGGAAGATTTTTGGGGGTGTGCGCGCGAGGAGGAGATTGGAGTTGGCAAGATCGGAGCAGCGCGGTCGCCTTACTATGGATGTGCGTGGGTTTGGAAGCTGAAGGCGTTATCGATCTCAGTTCTGGGCGTTGGATTGTTGTTGTTGTTCTTCTTTTATTTTCCTTCTGCAAAACAAAAACACACAGCATAATATAGTAGCGCTAACAAGATTATGATATCGGGGGTTGCTATTGGTGTACAGGTCAGAGGTCGAAGGTGTGAAGAACTGAGAATTCGACGGCGAGCGATGGTTGGTGGAGCGAATCTGCATGGTGAGATTTGGAGGAGGCGTGCAGAGTCCGCGATGACATCCGGTTGTCGGGGGTACGGTCTGAAGTGTGGGTCTTCGAGGCATTGTCGGTTGTAGAATGATTTCTCTCTATGCTTTCATCTTCTTTTGATACTGAAATTTGTTTGTTGATGTTAACTGTTGCTTTACTGAGCTTGAAACATGTTATCAATGTGCCAAAAGAAATGCTCTAAAGCATTGGATAAGAAAGAGTGCGAAGATGTGACATGTTCTGTGTGCATGGAATATCCACACAATGCTGTTCTTCTTCTCTGTTCTTCTCATGACAAGGGTTGCCGTCCCTATATGTGTGGAACTAGCCTTCGTCATTCCAACTGCCATGACAGGTACCCCTTGCTGCATATTACCCCGTTTTTTTCATATGATAGTGGTACTCTTTTTCAGCAACCATACAGTGATGAGCTAATTGTTAAATATACATGTTCATGTGTTAAATAAGTGATTGTTTTGTACCATTGTAAAAAATATAAACAAAGTATTAGTAAATTTTAGTTTAGTTTTAGTTTAGTTTTAGTTTAGAATTTCATTTGACTTTTATTTAGTTAATTTTAGAATTTTTATTTAATTTAGAATTAGTTTAATAAATTTATAATTTTTATTTGATTTAGAATTAGTTTAATTTTAGTTTAGTTTAGTGACTTTAGAATTTCATTTGACTTTTATTTAGTTAACTTTAGAATTTTTATTTGATTTAGAATTAGTTTAATAAATTTATAATTTTTATTTGATTTAGAATTAGTTTAATAAGTTTATAATTTTTATTTAGTTTAATAACTTTAGAGTTTTTTTATTTGATTTAAATTTAGTTTAGTAGTTTTAGAATTTTATTCGATTTAGATTTAGTTTAGCAACTTTGGAATTTTCATTTGTTTTAGATTTAATTTAGTAACCTTAGGATTTTAATTTAATCTAGATTTAACTTACTAAATTTTAAAACTTTAGTTTAGTTTGGATCAAATTCAATAATACTAGATTTTTTATAACCTTAGAATTTGTAATTAGTTTAGAATTATTTTAGTAATTAATTTTAGTTTAGTTCGAATAACCTCTTTAGATAATTAGTTATATTCCTTTTATTTGTATATTTCTGTCATTTCAATTTCTCGGTGCCTCTTGATCATTAATTTGTTTTTGTCAGATTTATTTTCTTGTGAACTTCTGAATGTTTATATTTTGATGTTCATTTTATTTTGCTAATCCAAGGGAAAGAATTAAATTTGTTGACTTCACGTCATCAAACACATCTCATCCAATCGTGCGAATACCCTCATTCATCTTTTGTTTGTTTACTATTTTGCCAAACTTAAGATAATTTTCCCAAAAGATTCAATTTTTAAAATCACACCTTTTAAGTCAAAACTTCGACACTAGGTCGTCGCATCTTCAAAATCTCGTCCATACCCATTTTTTAGCCAAACGAACCATTTTAATCAAACAAACAATTTTAATCAAAAACAGATATTTCAAAAGGTTCCTGCGGAGTACCGCAGATGCATTGGGTGCTAATACCTTCCCATTGTATAACCAACCCCCGAACTCTCGATCTCTTTCAACACGCATTGTATTTTTATTACTTTTAAGTCTTATTTTACATTGCATATTTTAGGGTTTTATTTCGTTCTTTTCCCTTTTCCCTTGGAAATAATAAAGCGCGGTGGCGACTCTTGCTTTTGTGAGTCAAGTTAATTAATAGCTTGATCTCCGATTTTCACCGCTACATTGGGGAAATAAAAATATTTCGTCCTCGTGATGCTCATGGCGACGGGCATGGAAGCTTTATCTGGGGAGACCCCCGCTTCTTCGACCTGTTTGGATTCAGAAACATCTTCCTGTGGGGATTTCTTCTTTCTGTATTGTTTGAGATGCCCATCCTGGATGAAGATATCGATGGCATCCTTGAGGTGGATGCAATCTTCCGTCGTATGTCCGTGACTTTTATGAAACTGGCAGTACTTGCTTTTGTCCTTCCTCGGCTTGGACGATGTTTGTCGGGGGAAGCGAACCCCAACTTGCTTGAATTCTGCATTCGCATAGTGGGTCAGAATATTTTCACTCGAGGCGTTGAGGGGAGTATAGTCATGGAAGCGACCAGGTGGCTCCTTGTAGTCTCGAGACTCCTGGGACATGTCCTCTCTTTTATTTTCTCCTCCCCGACGGGATGTCAAGGGCTCTTTATTATTCGAGGCCTTTTCGTTCTCTTTATGTCGCGAGTCTCGCGCGTTGTTGGCTGCCTCTTTTTCCTCATACAAGATGTACGCCTGTGCTTTGAGCAAGAGAGTGTCAAGAGTGGCCGGTGATTCGATGCCAACTGCTTTGGCAAAGTCATTACGGGGACAAAGCCCACATTCAACTGAATACTTTTTCATGCCTTCAGTCATGGAGACTTGTACGGCCTCCTGGTTGAAACGTTCAATATATACCCAGAGGAACGCATCCCTCCCTTGTATGATCGCCTCTAGAGATGCTTCTGACTTTTGATGTCGGCGAGACGCTGTAAATTTCCTGGGAAATTATCTCCCCATGTTCTTCCACGACGTGATGGATTCCTCAGAAAGGCTCTTGTACCACACCATGGCCCATTTCCTGAGAGTTGTAGGAAAGAGTCAGCATTTGATCGCTCCGCGAACTCCTCTGTAGTCGAGTAGCGTGTTGATATTTTTGATGTGCTCATCAAGTTTGGTTGTTTTGTCGTAGGTCACCAGGTAGGGAGGTTTCTCCAGACTGACAGGGAGTGCAGTCTCCGTGATTTCTCTTGATAACGGGTCGCGGGGTTCGTCATCGTTGCTTCTCTCAGAAGATGGTGATTGTGAATGGTGATCCCTCCCTCGTTGGGGGGAGGTTCTCCTTCTCGGCTTGGGTGACAGCGAGTAATCACGGTCAACACGGTTGTTATCTGTCTTCTTTGAGATTGGGGAGCGTCGATCTTTATGGGGATGTGTGCGACCTTGTTTCTTGATAAAAGAAACCTCCTGTTTCTCCCGCGTAGGGAGACGACCATGCCTTGGTGGGGATAGATAGCGAGAGTTATAGCGCCGGTGTCTCCGAGGAGGAGACTTTGATCGCTTCTTCTCCCATGCCCCAATCCTCTTGCTCTGCTGCAGGATTAGGGTGTTGGTCTGATCGAGACACTCCGACGATCAAGTAAGAATGAGTGTAAAGAGATACAAGAAAGATATTAGAGTTTTTTATATGAATATTGGATACCTGACCCTCACAGAGGGTTTATATAATGCCCCCAACACGTAGCTATTGGTCCCTATTTTTGGGCTTGGATATTCGGGTCTGCAAAAATAGATAACTGTCAGGACCTAGTCAAAACGGGCAGTCGTGTCCGTAACTAGCCGTTGCTTCGAGCAAGGATGAGATGATGGACATAGACGTTATGAGCGCTAGTCTGGTTGTTTTCTCGGCATGCAGCGAGCAGGTCAGGGAGGAAGCTGTCGTTACGAGCATGTGTAAGACTCGAGGTGTGTTGGCGTTACTGCGCTTGGGGAGAGATCAACCATGCATACTCGAAAAAGGGCCAGCATCATTGGGCCATGTTTGAGGTCGAAGTGGATTGGGCCAATTCTAGTCATTGGGTCAATCTAGAACAAATATCAACCTCTTTGTTTCTTTCGAGTTCTTGTGTGAATGAGAAGAACTTTGGAGGGATGTGCGTGGTTCTATCAGTTTTGATATAACCTTCTTTCATCTGGGTAACACATGCAATATTGTCTTCATATAAAATTGTTGGATTTTTATCTGTTGTTAAACCAGATGCTCCTTGGATATGTTAAGTCACTAATCTTAACCATCTACACTCTTTGCCTGCTTCATGAAGGACAATTACTTCATCATGATTTGAAGAAGTTGCTACAAGTGTTTGCTTTTGAGATCTCAATGATATTGCAGTGCCTCCATATGTAAACACATATCCAGTCTGTGATTTAGCATTATGTAGATCTGACAAATATTCTGTATCTGTATAACCAAGCAAAACTGGTTTTGTATTGTTAGAATAAAACAAATCAAGATCAAATATACCCCTGAGATATCGAAATATCTATTTTATTCCTTTCCAATGTCTCTTTGTAAGACATGTACTGAATCATACTAGTAAATTCACTGCAAAAGATATATCAGGTCTTGTATAGTTGGCAAGGTACACGAGTGCCCCAATAGCACTAATATACCATATTTAATATACTCAATCTGTAAACCAAGACAAAATCTAGTTTTTCCCAGATCTTTCATTTCAAATTCTTTCTTTAAATAATTTCTCGTTTCTTTGATTTCTTTATTAGTCCCAATGATATTTAAGTCGTTAACATAAATATCAATTATTACAAATCTATATATTGTTTTTCTTATAAAAACACAAGGGAAAATAGGATTATTATCATAGTCTTCTTTAAGCAAATATTCACTTAGTCTATTATACCACATGCATCCTGATTGTTTTAGCCCATACAATGATCTTTGCAACTTAATCGCATACTTTTCTTTCGGCTTTGATGTGTCAAGCCTTTTAAATCCTTCTGAGATTTTGATGTATATATCACTATCAAGTGATCCATACAAATAAAAAGTAACAACATCCATAAGATACATATCAAGATTATTAAATACTGATAAATCAATTAAATAACGAAAAGTAAAGGCATCCATAAGAGGAGAATATGTTATCTCATAATCGATATCTGGTCTTTGATAAAAATCTTGTGCAACAAGACGAGCTTTGTATTTGATTATCTAGTTTTTCTCATTTTGCTTTCTCACAAAAACCCACTTATATCCAACAAGTTTTACACCTTTAAGTATAGCCACAATAGGGCGAAATACTTTTCAGTTATTAAGAGAATTTAATTAAGTATCTATAGCATCCTTCCAATTTTTCCAATCATGTATATTTTGACATTCATTTATAGTTCGGGATTATCATTTTTATTCATAACTTTGCATGCAACCGAGAATGAAAATATCTAATCAATATTCATACCTTTTCGGTTTAACAAATTTCCTGTATTAACATAATTAGTTGAAGGGTTAATAGGTATTTCGGCCCCTACTATATGAGCGAATTTTGAAAAATACCCATGTAAAAAAGATTTAGATTCGATCCTTAACATTTAAAGATTCCATTATTTTGCCCCTCTCCTCTTTAATTTTTAGATATTAAATATTAAAATCCAAATTTTACTCCACCAAATTAATGTTTAGATA